CCTGCAGGTCATCCAGCGTCTGCTGATGGGCCTCTTGGAGGGCTTTCTTCTCTTTGGTCAGCTTGGCAATGGTCTCGTCCAGGGCTGCCATCTCCTCTGTGAGGTTTTTCACCTGTGGTTTGAAAGAAAGTATCAAAAGTCTGTGTAGAAGGCTGGACTCCTTCCTACTTGAGTGAAATTTTTGCTTCACAGCTCTTAGCCAGGAGATTGTTTTCAATTTGGGCTTCCTGGCTACCCCGCTCAGATGCTCCTGGTGTGTAGCAAAGCAGCCTCATTCTCAGAAGACCAGGCTGATGTGGGAGGCATCTTCCCCTTCACCCTTGATGTGATTCCCCGTGTGTGTACCTTGTTTTCAGTGGCATGCTTTTCCTTCTCAACCTTGGCCAGTGTTAGCTCAAGGTCATCAATATCTTTCTTCAGCTCTGAACACTCATCCTCCAGTTTCCTCTTCTTGGCTGTCAGCTCAGCATTAATTTCCTCCTCATCCTCAGCCCTTTCCGTCACCTCCTTAATTTTGGCTTCCAGCTGGATTTTGGTTTTGATGAGCTGGTCACACCTTTCCTCAGCATCAGCCAAGCTGTCTGCTTCCTGGTGGGAAGACACAGGTTATGGTGGGGTGTCACGCTTTGAAGGTTCTCCACTCTCTTGTATTGCTGAGGAGGCAGTTGTTAAATGGGGGCTGAGCCTTCCAGCAGCTGGAAGACCTTGACCACTGTTCTTTGGGAAACCTTGTCGCCTGGTATCAACATTGATTCCAAATGGTTTGTGTCTCTTAAAAATGACTCACCTAGAGGCTGGCTATCAGAATGAAGATACTTGCCTTCCAGCTCAGAGCTCTCTGCTGTGGAGCGTTACATGGTCCTTTCTCTGACACTAGGAGAGTCTCATGTGGGGCTGCCATGAGACTCACCATGGCCCTGCCAGAGCCTGTTTACTCAATGTTCAAGTGCCTTGGAGTGAGTGATTTCACTGTTTTCTACCGCACATTTGTCAGCCTCCTGCATGGCTGCACATCGCTCTTTTCCCAGGAACAAACAAAGGGTGATACTCACCGCCTGCACTTGGAGCTGCAGGTCATTTTTCTCCTGCAGCAGGACCACCATTTTCTCCTCCAGCTCCTTCCTCTTGGCCTCAGACTTTGCAAGCTCCTCCTTGGTTTTCTCAAACTCCTCCTTCATGTTGGCCATCTCCTTCTCTGACTCTGCACTCTTCAGCAAGGGCTTGATCTTGAAGAACAGCTTCATCCAGGGCCAGTGCTTGACGTTCATGAATGCACGAACATTGTACTGGATGCAGAAGATTGAGTCCCTGAAATAAAATTAATGTGGCTGTTACATACGTTGGGTTTGATGAATTTCGTTTCAATTAGCCAAGTACCATGAGATCATGACATGTGGGTGAGAAATGTCTACCTCCTCTCCACCATCCTCCGATACTCCACTCTCATCAGGAAGCCCCTGCACCTGGCTTGTGTCATAGTGATGATTTCTGCAAGCTTGTCATCTCTCATCTCCTCCAGGAGTCCCAGCAGTCCAGCTTTGAAGAACACCTTAAAAAAGATAATATTGCAGCTTGTCATTTTCTGGTAGTATAAAGGCACAGAGTATTTCAGAATGACCAACCCACCTTGAGCCCTTTCCGAACTCTTTCGAGTCCCAGCAGTCCAGCTTTGAAGAACACCTTAAAAAAGATAATATTGCAGCTTGTCATTTTCTGGTAGTATAAAGGCACAGAGTATTTCAGAATGACCAACCCATCTTGAGCCCTTTCCGAGCTCTTTCCCAAGGGTCTACAAACTTCCTGTAAGCTCAGCCTTAAGCATTCATTCCTTCACCGAGTTATGTGGTACGAGTTATGGTTTCCAGTTCTGCCACACCTATACCTGGTCAGGAACCCTCGTGAGCTCTACCATGACCTTTAGGCTTGATGTTAGATCTATCTCATTGCTGTGGATCTTTGCATGAATTAATGAGTAGTGCCTGGGACTTGTTAAACTACCTATATCTGATCCTGACCAATCTTAAAAAACAAGGCTTTATAGCTTCAACTTAGACCTTTCTTATTGTCACAAATCTACCTCTTGATGTGTACACTTGTATGAAACTGGCTACCATTCCAGAGTCTTCCTCACTTGCCTTGCTTGGGTACTGTGGGATCAAGCACTTGCTGACTGACATCCCTACCCAACCAGCTCTGTTATCGTGCTCTGCTCCTTGCCCCTGGCAAGCAGCCTGCCCTTACTACTCCCTGACAAACTCTAACACACATCTTGTTTCTACCTTGGTGTGACCAAATCTGTACTGGGTGTGGTCCA